TACTGTATACATGTGTCCACGTACGTATAGAGATACGTATAATAAATATAGAGACAGATATATAGATATGTATATATATAGATATATATAGAACAGTCAATAACCAGTCACAAAGTACCTTTTAGTCGAGTAAGCGAGCTTCTCTCTACGCTCGGGCTCAGACTGAAACAGAGATCATCATCGCGTCATTTCTCCACGCGAATAAAACAGTCGGGGTCCGATGGCCGCGCAGCGCTGCCCGCCATCGATCATCGATCCCGTGGATCGCGCGAGAACCTACCGCGAGATCGCGGCTCCCGGATCCGTTCGATCCCCTTGGTCCCCGGCAACTTCCGGTCTCCTCACGATCGAAGATACTCCCTTGCGAATCGAGCCATCAACGTCGAACGTTCCCGTCCTATTCTCCGCAATGGTTCTAAGTCCAGATTGGAGGGTGTGGGCGAGAGGAGGTATCCACGGATTTTTATCGTATGGTAATGTTTCTTCTGAACCGGAAGCAATTCCGTCCGACAAGGACCCACGTCAGCTTCTTGGACGTCCTTCGGTGTTCGTTTTGCTCGACGAAAAATCACCGCGAGCCCCACTAACCTACTTTCGGCCGCGCGATCGCTAATTTCGAAGTGCATTTGCCGCGCACTGGATACTTGCTCGCCGATTATTCTCTGTCAACCATACGTGTCTAAACGGCGGCCCGGCGCTCGTCCGCGTTACACCTCAGCCGGGAACGTTTTACAATCCTAACTAGTACGCGGATCTCGCGCGCACTGTTCCAACTGGACTGCGGTACATAACGCGGCGTTTTATTTCAGTTTGCTGTTTCGAAATTCAATTGTCGTTACCGCAATTTGCTTATTTGGTTCTTCGATCTTTTTCAAAGGTCAATTATTATTATTAGAATTTGTTTCTTTGGTGCTTCGATCTTTTTCAAAGGTCAATTATTATTATTAGAATTTGTTTCTTTGGTTCTTCGATCTTTTTCAAAGGTCAATTTTTATTATTATAATTTGTTTCTTTGGTGCTTCGATTTTTTTCAAAGTTCGATTATTATTATTACAATTTGTTTCTTTGGTGCTTTGATTTTTTTCAAAGGTCAATTATTATTATTACAATTTGTTTCTTTGGTGCTTTGATTTTTTTCAAAGGTCAATTATTATTACTACAATTTGTTTCTCATTAATTATTACGATTACTAAGTAATCAATGATTAAAATGGATAACTTAAGTAATCGAAGCGAACGTGGTCGTTGATCATGATTACCACAGTAATCATGTAATCAGTAATTATTAATTATTATGTAATGATTGCTTTTATTGATCGCGATTAAAACTGAAAAATTTGGCACTGTGGTAGTTAATTATAATTCTGAACAGTTTCTTCGAAAATCTGCACGTGTATCTCACGACTGATGACTTATTTTATCTTTCAACCGGATCCGAGAACAAGAGATGAGAGAACATAAATGAATCATTTAGGATCAAAAGGTTTTTTTCATCCTTTCGCAGACAGCGTTGCGTAATTTTCCAGCAAGCCTCCGAATAAAAATGTCAAATTTCGTCCGGATAAAGAGATTCCGCGCGATAAAGAGGTCGATTAAAAAATATGCGCCTCGATAAAGAAAATCTACGCTGGATCCCCGTATAAAGCGATTTTGCCCAGCTCGCGACGTGGCGCGGTTCTCCGTGAAATAATCTTTACACCGTCGAGCAGAACTTTCCGAGGAGTTTCCGCGAGAGGTTCCTTCTTCGGGCCAAGCGATTGAAAATATCCGCGCGCGCGGTGATCTCGGGGGAAAGTGGGTTAGTGAGGCGAGACGTCCTCTCTCGCTGCGGACGCTAAACGATCGATCATTGCTCGCTCGATTCGAACCCCGGACCTGACCCATGCGGGCCGGGCCTCGATCGTTCCCGGGGATCGGGATCCAGGAGGATCCTCCTTCTCGGGGATCGATTTACTTACATGATGCCTGGCTGAGCTCAGTTTGGGTCTATCGCACACTGGACATTCTCGGGCCGGCGAATCGCCGGATAGCGCGTTCGAACTCTGTGCACGGTTTTCGCGGCCGGAGAACGCATAATTCTTTGGTAACGGGACGGCGAAGGTTTTGCGGCGCGGAAAGGTATTATGGCTTCCCGGATAGTTGCTCCATAACTCTCGATACATTCGATTTGAAGTTTTCGGCGAGCGCGGCTCGTGGGAAGACAGCTTCGCTGAGATATCTGGCGATTTAGCTGCTCCGGAGGAAGCTCTAGTTACGTTGCTCTTAACGCTTAGCCAACCGAACGACGAGATCTCCCCGTTTTAAACGAAGTCGAATAGAGAAATCCTCCACTTTTTTGTTGTCATCGATCGGTCTTGATCTCGAGTTATTCGTGATTCATTGAATACTTTCTCTTCCATTAGAAAACACAGTTTTAATTGAACTCTGTTAACACTTTGACTGTCGCGTCAGCCAATACGTGGATGACAGAATTGAACAAAACTTTAATTTATAAAAGTGAATTTTTACGTTAATCATTATAATTTCTCAATTTTATTAAGATTTGCGAGAGGCATGAATGTTGAAGAAGCAATCGATGCCGTATAACTTTGCTTTCCAATTTTCATTTAATTAAGCGTTAAGAACGGAATTGGAAAGATCATTTCACGTCTTATTCTTTTCTTTGCCGTCAAGGTGTGCGATCGACGCCGTCGAGCCAATGATCTCGACGAAATTGTCGCCGGAAAAACGGCGGTAATTTCGGGTCGAGTGCCGCGCACCGAGTTCGATCGCGGTCCGCGCGGCGATCGTCGCCGATCGATGGATCGCGACGGTTGAACGCGAGCCAGCGGGAACGGGGCGAGAAGATGATCATTCCCGATCGAGCCTCTTCGTCCCCGGAAACCGTGGGACCACCTCCGGCTTGATTCCCGCGACCCTAATCGCGTTGTTAGATGTTTGTTAGTGAACTCGTCAGGCAAAACAAAGCGGACAAGAGGGCGAAGCGCGCGCGAGAGACGCCGGGCTCTGGGATCTGTCGTGAGTTGAAGGTCGTTCAAGGTCACTACAGGTCGACACCACCAGCGGGTCTCCTCGGATGGGACAAACGAAAGAACCAAAGGAGCAGGAGCAAAGGGGGCTACAGTCTCTGTAAATTCGTGGTCATTTTTTTCTCTTCGTCTTTTCCTTTCGTCTTTTCCGTAGCTTACGACCGCGATGCCTCCGGATCCCTTTTCCGGATATCCGGCACCGCTGATATGCACGCATTCCGTGGTGCATGATACTTACAGCATGTTCCCCAACAATCAAACGCAACGCAACGGGAAAACGCGCTCCCGGTAGTTTCGGTTCGCTTTTCGTTAGGGGATTCGTTCGCTTTAACATTATTTCATCAGCATCCGGCGGCCTTGCGAGCCTGTGTCCCGACACCGGGGGCTGCTGCGGGGGCGGGACCGCGGCTGGAAGCGATTCGACGGGATTCGCGAGCTCGTGTTTCTTGTTTGACCACGCTTTTCGCGTTCCGAAGCAGAATTTCAATCGTTTCCTTCGTTGTTTCATTCGATTCTGTCAATTGCCGACAGAGTTGGGCGAAATTTTATTCGAAGCTCGGAGAAATGGTAAAGACTAACGAATTCAATTTTATTCGACGGTATCGAATAAAAATTTCAGATAAGAATACAAATTTTAGATAAGAATTTTATTCGAACAGGATTTCATTCGAATAAGAATTTATTCGTGCAGCAATTCATACGGAAAAATAATTGATTCGAATAAAAATGATAGAACATGTGAAGTGTTTTTCTATAATTTATTCATTTACTTCTTCGATATTACCTCTTCGAGTTGTTCGAATAAAGAATCTTTCGGATTATACGAATTAAGAATTATTCGAATAAAATATCCGACTGAAAGGAATTCTTTCGGATAATTATATTAGAAAAATATTTATTCGAAACAATCCGACCAATGCCCAACTCTGCACACAGGGTGGTAGATCCTTCGATTTTCGAAAAATGTTTTGGGTTAGCTGTGAATCTGCTATCGAAGAACAAACCGATACTTTATTCTAAATTTAGTCGGGATCTATAAAAGATTTAACGCATTTTGTAGTACAAAATGCCGACAATTAGCCGAACGATGTCCACGGAAATGGGTGTTTCGTTTCACTGTGCGACGTTGAGCTCGAGTTTCTCGCGCCACCCTGTACACCGGTGGATCGCGTACGGTACTAGGTGTCACATAGTCTCCAGGGATTGCCCGGGTATTTTTTTACACGGTTCTAGAACGGGGTCAAACAAGTCAGACGATTAAACGAACCCCTTCCCATCGATTTTCCAGGCCGCGCAACCCCTAAAGAGCCCGCCACGTGTTAAGGCGCTCAGTTAACGCTCGCTGCCAAGTTTCGGCTGACGGCAGGACCTCGCGGCTCTTCGTGGAATATATAAAAAAGCTAATCGGCCTCCGCGGAACCTATGAAATTCTAATTCGTGCAACGCGTTAATTAGAAATTCCGTTCGCCCCACCCGAGCCACGGCCGCGGCCGTCCATTCGACCTGATAAACACCTATCGCCTAATTCCGCGCGTTCCCTTTTTTTTTACCCTCGCGATTGGAACCGGTCCAAAGACGTACTAATTTTCCCTTACGGTATATGTATAGCACGGACTGTTGTTCTAATTCTGTTCGAAACGCTGCAAAATTTTCGATCGTTTCGCGGAACTTTCCTCAAAGTAGGTAAAATCGGGCCGGAATATTTCCGCGCGGTGACACGATTTCAACGAATTCCGTACAAAGCCTTGTCCCCCCGAGATTTTCCGCGCGTTCGCCGGAGCGCAATATTTCGTTTCAACGTAAGCGGATGGTGTTTTCGGTGCGAGATGCGCATAGGAAGAGCCGCGAGATCTTGGCTCGAGGTGGGGGCCGCGATACGGCGACCCCCGGATAGATTTCGACAGCCTGAAACGTAATCGCCGGCTTATGCATGAGAATTTCCAACATGGCCACGATGCTTTCGATCACGTACCCGTTTGCGAATGAGGCGAGTCCATTCCGCGATGGCCGTCCTCGGGCCTGAGGACCGGCGAGAACGTCGGCGCGCTCGAAACGGACACCGTCGGGGGCTTTTCAGTCTTGTCGTTCCTTATCAGTTGGTGCACCGGTGGTGGGCCTGCAAAAATCCCGATCGACGCCTGTTAGACACAACCAACGAATAAAAGAAAAAGAAAGAATATATAAAATAAATTGCTGTTACATTCGGAACAACAGAGAGACCAGTAAGTCCTGCAAGAGGTATCTTGGAAAATGTGTATTGAAAGATTGCTGAATAAAGGCTGGGAATTGTTCCAAACATCGGCATTATTGTTAAATATTGTCAGTTGCGAAGATGGTCCGCCGTACGAGGCTTGACCGTTCGAGTTCCAGGGGTTACTCAGTAAACATGGTCGAAAAATGCCGAACAGCGTGATAGCGCTTGTCTTAATTAATTGCGAAGAGAACCGAGCGGCGCGATGGCGCTCGTCAAGATTGACAAACGATACAAAACGAAAGAAAAACGAAAGAAAGCAGCTATGCGATGTACGTGCGTCGCTGAAGTTTGATCGCGACGCAAGATCTGAACGGCGCGATCGCGCTGCTTGGGACTCGAACGGTTGAAGACACGTCAATCGTCCATTTGACCATTCAACCGAATCGCTAAAAAATGATCGTTTTCACGGAAAGGTATCGCGGCCGACAGCTTCCGCTGGATGCCGGCCCGAAGGAGAACGCGGCCGATGGGCTGCGTAAACTCGAGAGGCCGATTTCCAGCGATTAGCGAGCGCATCGAGGCGATCCGGTCGCAATCCGAGTACGGGCTAAAGATCAATCGACTGGACAATCCCGGTGTCCTTGGCACAGAACCGCTCCCCAAGGCTAGAGGCGTTAATCCCGGAAGAAGGGCGGTCTCTTTCGGCGAGATACAGTCGGAGTAGCATCTTGACCAAACGGATTTACGAATGCGCGGCGCGTAGAACGGCGGTGCGCGCCGCGCCGCGCCGCATCGGGCCGTTTCACGCTCGTAAAATTAGTTTCGTTCGCCGGCTGATATTTACGTCAGCCGTTAATTTAACGACAATACAGTCAATCAACCGTCCCGCCTCTCTCTCCCTGCCCGCTCGGGCCCCCCTCCGCCGCCTGCGCCTCTCTTACGCCTACGCCGCCATAAAGGCAACGTATGTATGATAAAAAGGGAGCACGGAGAATGCGGTTGGCCGTGGTCCAGGCATGCTTATTGCCGGAATTTTTCTCCGTGTATATTTTGCTTGAGAAAGTGGTCATTTTATTCTGTCCGTAAATTCCGTCTATCCGGCGTCGTTGGCCCACCCCCTCGCGACCCCCTCCGAGCCCCTCTGAAATAGCATAAAGTCAAAACTTTTCGGCCCTGGGTCTGATCGAGCTTCCACTTCAATCCCTTCCCTCCCTCCCCCGGTTCGTCTCCTCGCCACCCGAGCCGCGCTATCTATCCTCTTCCTTCTCGTTTTTATTTCTTGCTATCTGCGGAATTTATGCGCCGCCGCCGTGCAATTATTCCATTAATATATTCCCGCGGAATTGCAAAGCTCGCTCGCTCGTTCGCTCGCCTGTTCGTTGTCTTTTCCGGGGAGCGGTTCTCGCGGGAGTCTCAAGCTTCCTACCAGTGCCTGTGATTTCAATTGAACCTATGAGATGCCTGGGTACCCATGCGGTACCCTCGGATAAACAAAATTCTCCCGCGGACCCGGGTAATTTCGTGAGGTATACGAGATACATACAAAATAAAATCGTGTAGAACTGCGACCAGAATATCAAAATTGTATCAAAATTGACCGGTATTATAAAACTTGAACGGTGGTATAACGATTGAACAAAAATTGAATATGGTAAAATAATATGACAGAATTATTTCGATTTTAAGATACAGTTTATCTTGTCATAACTCTTACTTAAATATTTAACTATATCAAATTCTGCATTAAAAATTCTGATTTAAAAATAAAAATATTATTGGATCAACATTTTCTGGCAGTAAACTATTCCGTAAAATAGAAATCATTTTTGCAGATCATTTTATCGTATTATTTACACCGTTCAATGTTTGCATCATCAGATTAGAATTTTAGTCGTATTATCAGTTCTACTGCGATTATATTTTCACCTGTATTTCACGTATTTCACATATCTTATGAAATATCTGAGTACCCGGGATTTCTTTGTTTATCCGGGTATGTTACGAGTAATGCGGGTACAGTACACCGAGTACAGTAAGTTCTCCCTAATTTTCCTTCAGCTTGTAAACGAAAATGGAAAATGAGACACGATTATTCGAGCTTTGCACCTCGTTTTTATAATTGCTGACAATCGGCAACTATAAAAATGAGCCTCGAAGCTCATATAATCGTATCATCTCTTCCCAAATTGTCCATTTTTGTTTACAAACTCGAGGAAAATTGGAGAGAATTTACTGTATCCCATAAGACCTCTACTTCCTATCCCTATTCGCGTTTCGACTGATTCGGAGAGCGTTTGATATCGCAAAGGAGAATATTCGCTGAAAATAATTACTTTGAAACGCGACTACCCGTTTCGAAAAACGGGGAGACGGACGAAATGAGCAGGAAATCCTTTCTCGGCTCGCAAAGGGCGCGGAGGTTTCCCAAAGGAAAAACACGGTAATCTCGTCAGCCGTCGAAATTAGCGCGGGAAACACTTTTCGAGCGGCTCTCGAGAGTACCGGTCGCATTTTCCAGCCTCTCTCTCTCTCTCTCTCTCTCTCTCTCTTTCTCTCTGTGCTCTTTTTTTCGGGAAAAGCCTCCGCCAGCCGGAAGTTATTCCTCTTTTTCATCTCCATCCAGTGACTTCCGTTCCGGCGGGGGTTATCGTTTGATCGATGAAAGAGTTAAGAGGGGCGAGGGCAGGGCGGGGGTGTGGGCCGGGCCTCGGCCCGGGGGTGGAAAAACGGGGGTGAGGGCGTGATAAAGGGAGGCCGACGGAGAATAGAAAGAAAATAGAGAACGGAAAGGGAGAAATATAGGGAAAATGATCTATAGAACGCTGAGCAAAGTAGATCCCGATAACAAAGGACGCCCCGATAAGCCGCCGGATGAGATTGAACCCGGGGACAAAAAACGTCCAACCTCTGACCGCTGCAAATTTGTTACTTAAACCGGCCTGGCGCGGCGAGAGTCGATTCAACCGCTACGCGCGAGCATCGATTCATCGGACCGGAATGTTCTACATTACCTTCTCGCGATCAACAAACGCTAATTTCGCTAAAGCAAATGCCGAATTTTCTTGGGCGCCGAAAGAAATCGCAGAGAAAATGATCATCGAGAAATCGTATTCTATCGACGCATCGGTTTTCTGACGAATGCAACCGCTTCCATTCGATGCAACCGCGTCTTCTTCACAAATGCAACAAAACAGCTTCCGTTCCGCAAATTCCTTTGGAACGTTCTTGAGATTTTCGGTCATTTGTCAACGCTTCGACTGCCGCGCCGCGGACCATAAAAATTGCGTGGAATTAAAGTGATTCATCGAAAGAAATTAAAATTGAAAAATCGAGTTGTATATGATAAGAACAACTTTATCATCGTTCTTGCGTTTCTTATCAAATTAGGAAGATACAATTCATTATCATAAAGATACGGGCGACGCGTCAGCCGAAATGTTGAAGTACACACTTCGTTCGTTAATATTCTACGAGAACCCAAAAATGAAACGAATTAAATTACGTTTTCCGGAAACACAAAGGATTTCTTAATCTACTCTAAAAGAAGTGCATTCGCGTACGCGAAACGCGCATCGTTGCACTCGAGAGAAATACGAAACCGAAGACGAAGCAGAAGAAATAATTTCTGACGCGAAGACACCACATTTCCTGATCGGAGTTTCGCGGTTTCCGTGCAACAAATTTATTTTTACAGTCGCAAAACTATTGTGCAACCGGGAGACTATGGCGCTGAATGGACGGTCTGTGTCGCAGCCGGCGATTCCGCATAGCGATAAGTGTCCTCGGATGGGTTAATTTTAGTGTCGCGCCGGAAAAAAGGATAAAAATACTGTAAAATCATGGTTTCGCAAACGGCGGCCGGTAAACAAGGTCTCTGCGCGGTCGAGGGACAAGGAGAGACCGCGCGCGCGAGAGAGGGGCGAGGATGGGAGAGAGACAGAGAGAGAGACAGAGAGAGAGAGAGAGAGACAGAGAGAGAGAGAGAGAGAGAGAGAAGAGCGTCGGCGTCCCGATGCATCGCTTTTGTGACGCGTTCGATTCGCGCCGCTGCNAAATTTATTTTTACAGTCGCAAAACTATTGTGCAACCGGGAGACTATGGCGCTGAATGGACGGTCTGTGTCGCAGCCGGCGATTCCGCATAGCGATAAGTGTCCTCGGATGGGTTAATTTTAGTGTCGCGCCGGAAAAAAGGATAAAAATACTGTAAAATCATGGTTTCGCAAACGGCGGCCGGTAAACAAGGTCTCTGCGCGGTCGAGGGACAAGGAGAGACCGCGCGCGCGAGAGAGGGGCGAGGATGGGAGAGAGACAGAGAGAGAGACAGAGAGAGAGAGAGAGAGACAGAGAGAGAGAGAGAGAGAGAGAAGAGCGTCGGCGTCCCGATGCATCGCTTTTGTGACGCGTTCGATTCGCGCCGCTGCGCCGGGAAATCACAACGCAACGATTCGGAAACGTTTCATGTTACCCGGCTGGCAGCGGATTTAGAATCCTTCGAATCACAACGCGTTCAGACTTCTTGGCGTTTGAAGTTACGATTTGTTGATCTTCGCCGCTTCGGATCGCAACGCGTTGTGATCGGCCGACGCTTTTAGACAAGACAGCCCCGAGCTTTTCAGACGCTCGGAATCACATTGTCTTCGTTCCGTGCGGTTACTGGCTTCACGACGTGTTGATTACTCTGCCATTCGAAGCACAACGAGCCGATTCTCAGAGCTCTGGGTCACAACGCGTCGATTCTCCGGGCTCCGTGTTGCGACTTCTTCGCTCTCGGCGAGTAAGAGCTCGTTTTGTCGACTCTCAGACATCAAAGTCGCGACGCATTGGGTCGCCGAGAATCGCGATAAACCGCTTTGCTAAAACTTGAGAATCGTAATGCATCGCATACTCACGCTGAGAATCCCAATAGAACGCGTCGTTACGCCGAGAATTCGAACTTTACGTAATATTTTAACTCTTTGCTTCGGGAGTTAACTTGCCTCGCTTGCAAGTGTCCCAGATAAAATCCCGATAAATCAACTCTCAGCTTCGGAAATCGGCTGACATTTATTCCGAAGGTTTCAGATCACAACTCACAGATTCTCAGCGGCGAGAGAGTCACGAAGCGTCGCTTTCGCAAGCTGCGAATTCTAATCGATCGACTTCAGAAAACCATAAAGACCCCATTGAGTCAACTCTCGGCTCCGAAAATCAGCTCATTTCGATTCTAAAGGCTCCGGGTCACAGCTCACAGATTCTCAGCGCCGAGGGTCACAGAGTGTCGCGTCCCCAAGCCTGGAACCCCAAGCATACGACCTCCGGAGCGTTTCAGATCCCATTAACCGAATCGCACGCGCTGTAAATCTGAACGTTTCGCTGCGAATTAGTCCCGAAACAACGCAGTGATCCGGCTCCGCGATGTATCGGGACGCGACTCGCAGTGCGTGGCAGCGTTGCAGCGTCGCATCGTTGCAAGTGTCGCGTCCCGAGCTGCAGCTGCAGCGGCTCGTCGCCGCGGAACCGGGTGACAGCGTGCGCGACCACTAAAAATAAGGGCGAACGTAGAGGTTTTGAAACTCACTGAAGCTAGCCGCTGGCTGAGCATGATCCGCGGCCGTGGCTGCGGACGGAGGGGTGTAGCTGCTGCAGTAGTACGGCGGGTGCTCTATTTTGATCGCGTTTATTTGAGGCTGCATGTCGCTGAGGTCATGCAGTATGGACGCTGAAACCAGACACACATTAGCGGTTACGGATCCTCGCGCGTTCGTACGTCATCCGGCTCCTCCTCGTCGTCCTCTTCGAAGTCGTCGCGGTCGTCGTAGTCGTCGCCGTGGTCGCCGTCATCGTCGTCTTTTAGTCCGCGTTCCCTTGCGGTCCCGATTCCCCCGTGGAAATCGCACTTCCGCGCGTTTTTCCGCACCGGTAAAACTTCCCCGTCCCTTCGCGGTACTTCTCGCCAACTTTTGCAACCCCTATTAAAAACTTTCCGAGCCGCGGTTCTATGATCGAACTCGCGATAGATCGTTGCTTAGCGATATCTCTGAAGCTGGTTTAGATAGAGTTCCGTTACGGCTTGAGAGTTGATCGAAGGGAACGGGAAAGCTTCGGTGCATCGGCGCACGTGGTTCAAACGCTAGAACTACCGAACCCTAAGCACGATGTCGCAACCACGACGAGATTAGACTTACTCGAAGTTCGCATAATTTCTGTTGTAATACAGTAGAGGCTCCCGTATTCGAACATTTATTTCTAGAATATTCTGGTATCCAAACGATCGATCTGTTGTCCAATCATTGCATCATTTAAATACATAATCGTCTAGTAGAATGAAATTGTTGAAGAATAGAATGCTTTGGTGTCAGGATATTAAAAAAATAAATTTTCATACAAGATATTCGAAACTGTCCGGTAGTTCTAGCGTTTAAAGGTCACTAAACTAGACGTTCGGACGTCAACGTTCCTCAACCCCTTGCACTGGAATAACGAGCCAGACCCTGGTCATGAAGATTTCAGGCACAATTGACTAAATATTAGTGTAATTTATCTCTGCGAAATTGAAATAAAATTCGCTCGAAATTCGAAAGAAAAATTGTCTAGCCGTATCGGGGGAAGGTTTAAGGGCGAATGAATCGCCAATGAACGCAGTTGTGGAAGAGATCGTAGTGCAAGGGGTTGGGAGAAAGGTTCGTTCGGAAAAATGTTCGCGAAATCGAAAGCGGCTCTCCAGCCTTGTCGCGGGGAACGATCTTGGGCGAACAGCGACGGTCCTGGTGAGGGATCGGTTAATTAATCGCCGGCCGGCCATTAGAATACGCTCCAGTTACACGTTCCGCTGAATCAGCGGCCCCGTAAAATAATAGGATTCCAGTTTGTCGCAGTTGGCGACGCGTAAATATAGGGATCCACCGTGCACGACGGTCAACGACCAATTAGGTTGAGCTAGTGCCGTAGAATTTGCATCCTGTGTAAGCAACTCGCTCGTAAACCTGCGTCCTCTCTGCTAGAGACACTCCGGGATCGCGAGACCTCACGACGCGAGGGCTGTCCACCGAGCAACCCCCTTCCCGGACGCCCTCTCACCCCCTTCGACCTTCCACCGGCCTACCGACCAACCCTCCCCCGGGCCTCTTTCCCCCTTCGCAGAAATATCTTCCTGACTTCTTTGGCCCGCCAGTAATTTACGCGGCAACGACGATTGTATTTCTCGCGGACCGGCCTAGTAATTTTATGTCCGGAATGGTGGTAGCGGCCCGAGAAACTATTCCGTTTCCGTGACGGGTAATTTAAATTCTCGCCAGGGGGGCGCGGAACGATCGCCCCGGAAAGACAAAGGGCTGACTTTGCGGAGACATAACCCCGGAATAGAGGAAAATATATACACGCGGATTGTTTCGTTTTCTTTCTTTTTTCCTTTTTCTCGGGACCTTGGACATCGGCCGTGCGGAGGCATTATTCTCGAGTCCTACGCTTGGAAAATTATTTCAACCCCTTCTTCGTTGGCGATGCTGAAGCTTGCGTGATGTTTTGAAATTTTATGCAATCGAATGTTCCGAGTACTTTAGGAGTTTTAACACGTCGACTGCCAACGATAATGATTATAAAAGTCACACGAAATTGGAACGACCGATTTCATAATTAGACTGTGGATTTTATTTATTATATAATTTAAAATAGTGTAAAAATTAAAAATATTTTGGAACGTCAAGGTATTATTTTTGGTCTATTGAGATGATTAAAGGACGAATGGAGCTGCTATTTGGAACTCGATCCTTGCAATCGATGCAGACAATTTTTATTTTGCATAAAAATCCGCAGTCTATTCGTAATATAAGAACAGGGGAGGCGAGATTTATTATGAAAATTACTTGTATAATACCCTTGAATCTTGCGGATGGAAACCAATCTTGATTCACTTCGTAGACTGCACTAAAAAGCGAGTTCCAAGTTTGTGAAGAAAGATCGTGTCATCCATGTATGACCGAGATGGTAGTCAAAGTGTTCGCCCTTCAAAAACGAAGCGTCTGCACGTTACATTTCTGTCTGCACCTTTCTTTGTGCTTAACAAGCTGTTACAAATTTCAGTTTGTTACGAGTGAATGCACTTAATTTCGTGCACATGGAATGAATTAGATCGTACAGATGAAAACGGTCTAGAACAATCTACGCGTTTCGGAGATTAAATAATTTCAGGAGGTTCGAAGACTCGCTATCAGTTGCAACCGATTGCACAAAACAAGTTGCGTTCTCTTTGGAGAACTTGGGCAATTAGGAGAACTCGAGCGGAAAGAGAAGTAGAATTCCTGCGGATCGATCGATTGTTCGTAGAAAATCGAATGCAGAACCGAGGAGCGTAGAACATTCGTAGATTCCTGGAGAAGAAAATCGCAGGGGATGGTGGGAACAATGCGGGGGTTGATTCTGTAAGACAGAAGTACGCGAGAACGGAAGGAAACGGCGTTCTTGCCGGTGGCTCCGAAAGATCGAGCTCGCCTCGAGCTAGAGAGAAAACGACAGGCTGGAATTCCTAACCCCGATACATCTGAAAGGGAAAGAATTATCGTCTGAAAGGCTGTCCGTTCCAGGATCATCGATAAAAAAAAGACAAATAAGACGGCGAGTATTGTCGAAAGATTCAATTGGGGGAGCGGTTTTGTCCTCGATTCGAGGCCCCGCCGCCCCTCGCGGAGGTCCCAATTACAGAATTAGTCCGAAACCGGTCTCGGCGAGAGCACGGATATTTATTCGGCTCGACGGATTTCTAACCGGGTTCCGGATGCTGACGCGGATCCATCGTGGTACAGGTGCGCCCTCGGCCGTTCGCCGCTTCTTTTTCCACGTTTTTCAACCGCCGTTGCCCCGCCGCGCCACCCCCCGTGTCCCGCCGCTCTCCACTTTTTCCCTTCCGCTCCGACGGATCCGGCCCACCCCCATCCCCCAGAAAATGGCTTTGATACGATTCCCGAATCGCAATTCCTTTCGACGAGGGTGATGTTTTGAAATGGTCGATCAATTTGTACGTTTCGTTCTTTTTCTCGCGAGCCGGCCTCGTCATTTTCTGCGGCCGCGGTGCATCCCGGAAAAATGCGCTGCGGAACGGGTTAATGATCGTTGCATACCGTGCTTCAATACCGGAAACCATCCAACCCCTTTCTTCCTTTTCGTACAATAATTTTATACAAGTAATAGAAGTCTGTAGAAAAATTGGGTTTATATTTCTATATTGTACAAATACACGTAACGAAAATATCTGACACTGCAACTAAGTAACTGTTATCCGTACACAATACGAAATATGTAACAGAGTATATATAACAGTTTTCGAGCGAGTTACTGGGCCCTTAGAATGATGCATAGTTAATTTCTGCGTGTCAGTTATTGAGCCTTTTCTAGTTATTTCCGGTGATTGTCGAAAACACATCAAACCATAATCAGAAAAGTTATTCTCCGCGTTTTATAGATCTTGAGAAGTTTACTATATAATTTTTATTTCCATAATTGAAGGAACTGTAATTATCTTTCTTTATTTTACAAACCTACTTAATAATAATTATTATTATAACATGTTTTGATTCGGTTGCGAAAGTTACAGATCGAATTTTATGTAAAAAATTCAATATCTTTAATTTCATACTAATGTTTTGCACTCGAAGCCATTTTAACTGTAAATCTAAAACAATTTTTCTGACTTGTAGTATTTCCATTTTATATGNAGATTCTAGAGATCATGAAATTTTCCAGGACTGATCTGCTTTACCGTATAGCTAGTAATTATAACAATTTTAATCATATCAAATAATTAATTAAATAACAATTTAATATCTAACAGTCACACACACACACACACACACACACACCTTCAATATAGTAGAAGTCCAAACAATTAACTTTGTAAATTTTCTCCTTTAGAATGAAAATCCAGGATGCAACAACACAAGCTTAACCTATCGCTGTCACAGTTCCTATGGGAAATGTATGACTGGGTCACTCAGACCCAGTATAGTTTGCAAACAACTGTCACTCAAAAACTAGCAATATTATCGGGACCCAAAAATTTGTGAATACAACTTGTACATTCTAGAACATCGTTTCCTTTATTAGAACTCGATATATTACTTCCAAATATATTGACATAATTGTTAACACTTTGTACTTGGAGCAATTTTAACTGTAAATCTAAAACAATTTTTCTGACTTGTAGTATTTCCATTTTATATGACGAAGTGAATTTTGCGCATATGAAATTGTGGCTTGTAACTCATACAACAGTTACACTTTTAACAATGTTTTAAATTTAAATATTAACAATATAAAAATTACTTTGGAACGTGATATAACAATTTTTAATGGTACCTCAGATTCACCACTCGAGTGCGAAGGATTGTAAAATAAGCAAAATTCTTGCGAGGGCACAGTGTCTGGGGGTGGTACAGTAATTGACACAGTTACCCTGCAGCGTCAATTTTCGAAAAGTTCGTCGTGCCTCGAAATGAAATTTCGATGATCCCTCGGTTCTAATCCTGGCCGTACATGCCGTTTTCCAACCCCCTCGAATTCCATAACAGAGACATCCGCAGCCCCCTCGGGGTGGTGTGCAGCAGCAGCGTGTTTCTATTATGGCCCGTCTTGCACGTCACGCCACCGACAGGATATTCTTCTCTATTTCACATCATCCAGGCCCGCGCGCGTCCCCGCGGAAATTGCACCCCTTTTTATCCGGAGCCTACGTGGCTCCGAACATCGGCCGGAAAAAAAGCCCCGGAAAATACCGGGCGCGCAGCACACACCCACCCTGCGGGCCTCTCTTCCACCCTTTTCCCTCAGTTTCCGCGCGCACATGCACATGCACGTGCACCCTGCACCGTGCACACGGCCGCCGTTTTCCCCGTACGTGTGTCACGTCGCATTGTTGACAAAAAAGAAAAAAAATAGAGGAGAAAAGGGAGTGAGTGAGTGAGTGAGTGAATGAGAGAAAGAGAGAGAGAGGGGGGTGGCGGCCGGGAGCGGAAAAAATTCGTCGAAAATCGCGCACGGCGGCGCCGGGCCGGTGATTCAGGAATTTTTATTCTGCGAGAGGGACACACTCTCTCTCGGCCGGCGACCAGGAACTTTGCGAGAATCTCCGGGAAAATTCGGGGGGTGGGGGCTGAATACGGATGGTTAACCCTCTGCGAGGCGGCTCCATAGCTCGAGGAGGGCCGTGATGGAAAAACGTCGGCCCCCGATCGCGGAGAAATTGTTTCCGAACGAGGAGCCGGGCCACCCATTCTCCCTAGACCGTTCTGAAAATTCTCTAGGCTCTCTAGAGAAAATTGTGGAAACGCGGGAGGACGAGGGTTTAACATTTTGCAATCGAGTGACAACTCTAAGGCACCGTTAAAAATTCTTATATCACGTTTCAAAATAAATTTACCATTATCGTTTATATTTAGAAAAAAAAAACTATTAAAAGCGTAACATATGTATAATATACATCGGGTTGTACAAAATGGAAATACTGTAGGTCAGGAAAACTATTTTGTATTTCTTGTTAAAATGGATCCGACTGCAAAGGGTTAAGACGGAGCCATTCCGAAAATTTACCGGAATTTGTTTGCAAAGCATAATTTTTGTTATAGGATGCGTACAAATGAACTTAAACAAAAGAGAAACAAAAGAAAAATGTCAACGTTTTTTTTTTAGAAAAAACAATTTCCTTTGAACAATTTTGTCTAGTCGTTCCGTGATCGATCTATTGTTTATTTATGAAGATATCGACTATATTGATTTATCGACTAAAAGACTCTGTGATAAATGCACCGCGTAACTCGTTTTCGAAGTAAAGTGGACTGATTGGCTCCTGAATTGGCCATATACGTATATCTCACATATTTATTTAAAATATTTATTTAGAAGATATTTCATAAAATATTTCATCCAAATAAATAATCAACGAATGAAAAGCGACTGTTTCAAATTACTTTAAGCGCGACAATATAACTTGCCGCTACGAAGAAAGAAAAGTCTAACCCCATTGCGAAACGAGTTGTCCGAAATTGAATTCCCCGGTTAACAGGTTAAAGTTCTCGAACCCTCGAAGTTCCCGAGACTTTCGGAGCAGAATCGTAACGACGAAACGGAAGGAAAAGACCCGATGAATTTTTGAGGTCGCGGTTTAGATTGGATCGAGGCGGACCCGAAATGTGAAATATGAAAGGCCGGCTAAGAGATTCTAATCAAGATGGAGGACCCACTAGCTCCCTTGGCGAGCACTTAGCCGAAAGTTATGGCACTGGTAAACAAGCTGGAGGACGTGCCACGAGTAGAGACGCTCCCGAGCAATTCACTTAACCGAGGATCATCGTGTACCCATAAAACGGACGGCGCTCGGACCCGTGTTTATGGGGACCTTTGCTCATCGCGATGGCTGCCGCGTGGCCATAGCGTCTGGCCGTTACCAGGTGGACCACTTTGGGGGGAGCGTTTACTTAGATCGTTTATTAACCCTCGCAACGCTACGTGTCAATCGTCGGTGCGTCAATTACCTCGCTCAGAGTATTTATCTAGATCGTTCGCCTAATTGCCCAATTTTTGACAATTGAATAAAGTAAGAACAGAAAGACTAAATAAGTAGACTTGCGGATTTAATGCAGTTATGAGAACAATGGGTAAGTGAAATACACAGAAGACATTAGAACAACGTAAGAATTTTGTCGCACTAGTTTTAATGCGTTAAAAATATTAAAAAGAGAATATACACAAGGACACTTGGAAAACGGTATAGCTTTTTTAAAACTGGATTAAATGACTTGAATTTGTCTTTGGATGACAGAAGTACTGATCAACAGAAAAATCTATAGCGGCGCTCGAAGATCTTTCGACAGCGAATACTACATTCTAAATTGTTAATTCGACAATTATCTGCTAGGAAATCCCTCTCGGGGAAACGTAATCGCGCAACAATGAGATACGGAAGCCGCGAAAGCGAATAAGAAGAAGAAGAGCGAAGAACGGGAGGAAGAAACAGCTTGGAATCGATGCGACAACCCTCGGAAAGATAGACACGAGGTTGCCTAAGTCAGCGATGCTCTCAGCGGAGCAGCATTCTGTGCTAAAAAGAGGGAAGAAATTAAGAAATGACGTGGAATCGAGATGCAAGGATCGACGGTGCGGGTAGGACGTAGCCGGGTCGGGCCGAGAGGAGGACACGATGGGTGCGGGGTGGCTGCGGGACGGGGAGGGGAACGGGAGAGGACGCGGAGACGCGGAGACTCGGGAGAAAGAGAGGCTGCGAGGCTCTCTCAGCAGTCTCTGAGGCCGTGAGCATTGTTCCCCGTCTATTAATACACCGGGTTGCATACTAATCTCCTGCCACGGTGACGCGGAGGGGATTACAGGGGAATGGGAGGATGGCAAAAGGAGGAGGAGGAGGAGGGTGGCGGTGGCGAACGGGTCGGGGGAACGAGGCGGGAGAAGGGAAGAAGAGAGGAAGGAGGAGGAGATGCATACGTCGAGGCTCGCGCCGCTTCTCGATACGCGCTCCCCTGCCCTATTATTCCATTTAGTGGCGATGCACGCGTGCCACGATCCTCGCTCCCTCCCCGTTCCTAAAGGAGATCGGCTTAAAACCTGATCTCTAGCATAGATACATCGGGCCGAGCCCGCGATGCTATTGGGAAACGATATTTCTCCGGCTGGAATTACCGGAAATAGTAAATGCCGGCGGATACGCGAGGAGCAACGCGGATGCACCGCGCCACGCCGCGCCGCGCCGCTCGCACCTGATGTGCTCTCTCCGCTCGGAGATTAGGGCCGACCAGCGGGATTAGGCTAGGCCAGGGGAGCCAATTACTGTGCCGTGTCGGCGGACTTCAGGAGTTTTCGCTGCTGAAGACAACTTCAACAATTTAATTGTACTTCGTACAACGTTAGAGAGGAGGAAGAATACTACTTTCAAGCACAACAAAGATTAATTGTCTGACATAGTTACGTAGTAACTGATAGAGGCTTCAAATTGCATGTGATTATATATACATGATGCAGTTATAAAACAAGTAAAATTTTATTACGAAAAGATATATAATTTTTAAGATAATGTCCCATTCGATACGTGTTCCATTTAAAGCGGTTTGCCCCTACCTTGAGGAAGCCGGTTTCGATCAGGAAACGAAGAGTGCCTGATCCAGCATTTTAGGAAGTAATATAATCTAGACAAAAGTATCCGAAGTTCCATCTGATGAACATATTTTAAAAAAGATTTTCTGGATTTCGAAAAGTACGTAGGAGATTGTCAGAATTTTCTAGGGATCTAATTTTTTGAAGTACCAGAAATACCTAACGCACCAAAATTGCTGGAAGAGTACCTGAATAACTGAAATAATTAACGAAGCCAGCTTGCATACATCTGAAGTACTTGACATACCGAAACGATTATAGATTCGAAAAATAGAGGTACCAGAATGCGTCTGCACTTTTAACATTACTGGAGAAGTGGCTGAATTATCAAAATTATTGGCAGAGTGGTGTTAGAAGAACCAAAAGTATCTGTTCGCACCGAAACGATCAGAGGCGGGGGATAATCGAAGCACTAGAAACGGTACCCTAGCTGGTACCCGAGGTGCTCAATTCGGGAAAGCGACCAGATTCTCCGGAACAGTTTCGAGCCATTGAAGAAGCTGGCACCGAGATTTCCGGGCCGCTGCGGCGATCAATTCGAAGAAACGATATGGCCCCTGAATCGCATTCCGCGAGAGATATCGCTCGAGAATGTTGAGATCTGCATAGGAACGGAAGCGTGCCGGTCATTCGTCAGGTCCTCGATATCGAAAGACGAGTGTGAAGTGGTCCCGGGGCACGTCGGAAGGATAACTGTCAAGTGGCGGAGCCGCGAATCGCATTCCGCCTCTAAAAATACGCTGTTCGTTCGCCGTCGACGTTCCCGACGATAAAACCGGGGGCCCATCAAAAGGAACGAGCGTCCTCGATAATCAAAAATTCATTCTCTGTAATTCAACTGGTTATTTATCCGGCGGATCTCGGCTCGTGCGTCTGAAAAGGATGCTTTCAAAAGGTTCTCCAGATATCGATTTATTGATTACCTTTCGAAAGCATCCGTGAAACGCGATTCTAATCGAATACTGTTTGTTCTCTTTACTGTTCTTTTTTTTTCTTCTTTTGTCATTGTTCTTTTTCTTTTTGCAGTTCGAACGTTTTGCTGTACGTTTCTTTTTATTTATTTTTTTCTTTTCTCTTTTGGTAATTCATTGATTCTCGTAGTCGGAGCAGAGACTGGAGACTTTCGATATCCTAAGAGTCTTTTTCATGCAAAACGGAGAACGCGCTCGCGAAAAAAGAGAAAGAGAGAGAGAGAAAGAGATAGAGAGAGAGAGAGACAGACAGACAGACGCCGGTATTTTTTGTTTTTTGTTCGAAATTAGTGGGAAATGAGAGATTCGTCGTACCTTTTGAAAGCATCCAGAGCTCCTTCGAGCTGAAGACACCTGTCGCAAGGATCGTGTCATTGCAGACAACACCGTTATATAGTTCGTGGTAGCCTGCACCTGGGAACAGAACCCAGTCCGCCATCTTTAATCGTCCGTAAGATTAGTTTCTTTCTTTATTTATTTTTTTTTTGCTCGTTTCTCGTGTTCAACTTGAACATCTGTCGAAGACAGCGGAATCGATCGAGCTGGCAAGGTTCGATCGATGCTATGGCGTATTAGCATACAGCGAGATACTATAGAGACAGTTTCACGTGTCTTTTGCAAAGAGAGTAGAAGAGTTTTACCTTTTCGCCGCCTCTCTTCCTCCTTGCTCGCGTTGCAGATGCCGTTTAGGACCTCTGAAACAGCAAACCACACCGAAAATGTTAGTCGATTAGGCACTCGGTGTTCCTGCATCGTGAACGGTATGTTCTAGCCAATAAGATTACATTCCACTTCCCTCTGAATCCCTCTGGTCCTCTGAATTTCATTTCCATAGCAAAAACTGCTCTATGGTTACCACCATTGTCCCAGCCGCTATGGACTCTTTCTGAATTATTTTCACAGCTCATGCTCATCTTTCAGATAATCTGCTATCGTTTAGATTATTATTCGATAAAACGATTATAAAGGTCGAATTAAAATTATTCTCTTCGACAAGAATCACTAATTTTTGCGAATAAAAATTCCGAAAAATTCTCCAAAATATTCGGACTCTTTAAAAATATAATCTTTTAGACAATCTCGCTATCGTTGAGGTTATTGTTCAATAAAACGATTACAAAGGTTAAATCGATTAAAAGTTGAATTAAGTAAAAATTATTCCATTTGACAAGACTCAATAATTTTTACGAAATATCTCGGAACAAAAATTCCGAAAAATCCAGAAAAATTCCGAAGAATTCCCAAAAATATTCTCCGAAACATTCGAACTCTTTAAAAATATGATCCCTCGGGATGGAGAAGAAAACTTGTTCGAGCAAACGAGGTACGATCGATCGTTTTCGCTGGTCGTCTCGGCGCAGCGTTTCCGTAAATTTCGAGAAGAGTTTCGCGACGAGAGATCGAGCGTTTCCGGCGTACTTTCGGGAAACGGCGATTCTCCTTCGCGGGCCATCTCACCTTCGCTGTCACACGGTGTTTTATATCGCGGGACCTTACGCAAATCTCATTGCGCAACATACCACCGAAATACACGAGAGCCCGGAACGCCCGTTCAAGTTCCTCGGAGGAATTAGCCCGAGGGGAGCGTGGCTGGGGGTGGATCGGATCGAGCAGCGCCGGTTCGCGGATGGGAAATCGGGAAAAAAGGCGTTTCACAATGACCGTCGAACAACGGGCCCGTGAGTCTCTCGTCGCAGAAAACCTGCCGGCGATTATAAATAGACGTTAACAAACATACGTTCACTCGCCGGTTATTTTTAATTGCGACTCAACCTTTATATCGCCGTTCCGAAACGATAAGTCCTCCTTATGGCCGCCGCGCCTCTCTTCGAACCTCGAATTCTCGATCTTCCGTTCGATCGACCTGGAAAACTCTCGAACTGTTGCGAACGAACCGCCGATCGCTTGCTCGCGATCTATCTCGCAAATTCGCGAGACATTTTCACTTCTGTTCGAACTTATGCGAAACAGAACGCAGCGCGACGGAACATCATTGTGATGCAATATCTTTGATCGAAATAGAAGCATCGCTCGTAATCGTCGAATCAAAATCTGAATGTACAAACCATGGCGAAAAAGTATTCGGACACCTCTTCAAATGCAATAACTTTATTATAGTAATAATAATAATAATAATAATAATAATAATAATAATAATAATAATAATAATAATAATAATGTTTATTTGATTAATAATAATAATAATGTTTATTTGATTAATACTATATCTATCGACCATTAAAAATGACTTGTTCTATAAGAGTAATAAGACTATGTTTATTTAGACATTTCGTCCATTTTTATTATAACACATGTTTAAATTAAGAAATCTGTTAAATTATTTCTTATAGGAAAATTTGTATGACGTCAACAGGCTAAAAATATAAAAATTCAACGTGTTACAGTAGTATCACAATATGTCGCATACTCGTGCTACTCAGCATACCGAAACGAAGTAAAGAGAAAAGAAAGGAGATGATACAATAAAAATGTTCGCAATTATTAAAGCTGATCTAAACGACTTAAATTTTCTTATTTCTTTATGTCACTCCAAGTAGCGGCAAAATGAAAAAAACAAATGTTTCAGTCACTGTACAGTATACTAGTCCTTTTAACACTTAAACGAAATCCAAATCGTTTGGTCCAGTTTGAGAAAAATTTTTGCATTCTCAAAGGTGTTCGATTACTTTTTGCCCGGGGTGGTAGAATGACTCCAGCTCGTTACCTCCACTCAGAACGCGATGGGACCGCGGATAAAGTCGGTGCAGCGATCGAGTAAATAGCTTCCGCAGGAAACCGTTAATTTTAGACTGTCAAATAACGATACTTCTGGGATATATATTTCTGAAGCTTCTAGATTCCGCACGATTTTGAAACTGCACCGCGGCAGCGTTTAATTAATATCGAGCCGAGGCGAATATTTTTAGCGACGGCTGACAGCGGACGGCTACTTAGCCGACGGCTTTTTAAATTGATGGAATGATTTGCGGTATATAGAGTTTGTTTACTCAAGGTGCTCTATTTCCATCGGTTCGTGAAATGTTCCCGAGGCGCTCGTTGGCAGTGCGCATAAATAATGAGGAAAATTCGGGGGAGACAGGTCCGGCGGTTCGTGACGCGCGATGAAAATCGCCTCCAAAATGGTCGCGACGATGGGTTTTGCGCAACCGGCATCGTTTCCTCGGCAAATTAATTGCGACACAAGGCGGCGCGGCNATAATAATAATAATAATAATAATAATAATAATAATAATAATAATAATAATAATAATAATGTTTATTTGATTAATAATAATAATAATGTTTATTTGATTAATACTATATCTATCGACCATTAAAAATGACTTGTTCTATAAGAGTAATAAGACTATGTTTATTTAGACATTTCGTCCATTTTTATTATAACACATGTTTAAATTAAGAAATCTGTTAAATTATTTCTTATAGGAAAATTTGTATGACGTCAACAGGCTAAAAATATAAAAATTCAACGTGTTACAGTAGTATCACAATATGTCGCATACTCGTGCTACTCAGCATACCGAAACGAAGTAAAGAGAAAAGAAAGGAGATGATACAATAAAAATGTTCGCAATTATTAAAGCTGATCTAAACGACTTAAATTTTCTTATTTCTTTATGTCACTCCAAGTAGCGGCAAAATGAAAAAAACAAATGTTTCAGTCACTGTACAGTATACTAGTCCTTTTAACACTTAAACGAAATCCAAATCGTTTGGTCCAGTTTGAGAAAAATTTTTGCATTCTCAAAGGTGTTCGATTACTTTTTGCCCGGGGTGGTAGAATGACTCCAGCTCGTTACCTCCACTCAGAACGCGATGGGACCGCGGATAAAGTCGGTGCAGCGATCGAGTAAATAGCTTCCGCAGGAAACCGTTAATTTTAGACTGTCAAATAACGATACTTCTGGGATATATATTTCTGAAGCTTCTAGATTCCGCACGATTTTGAAACTGCACCGCGGCAGCGTTTAATTAATATCGAGCCGAGGCGAATATTTTTAGCGACGGCTGACAGCGGACGGCTACTTAGCCGACGGCTTTTTAAATTGATGGAATGATTTGCGGTATATAGAGTTTGTTTACTCAAGGTGCTCTATTTCCATCGGTTCGTGAAATGTTCCCGAGGCGCTCGTTGGCAGTGCGCATAAATAATGAGGAAAATTCGGGGGAGACAGGTCCGGCGGTTCGTGACGCGCGATGAAAATCGCCTCCAAAATGGTCGCGACGATGGGTTTTGCGCAACCGGCATCGTTTCCTCGGCAAATTAATTGCGACACAAGGCGGCGCGGCGGCGAGGAGGATCATCGCACCGAGGGTACACCGGCAAAATTAGTCTGCCGGTGGTCGACAGGTGCGTGTGGCGACGCAGCAATTTTCGGAGCCCGATAGATACGCGCGACGGTCTTGGAACAATAATAGAGACCGGAGAGAGATCTGTTGACACCATGTGATCCATGAGCAACACCGATCCCCGAGGAGGCCCGGTCAGCTTCGTCAAGGACGACCCTCGCGACGCCATCTTGGTAACCGTTTCGCAACCGTAATTCGCTGTTTTCGATGCTGCCTTCGTCGCGACAGCCGATTCATTGACTCCGGTGCACCTTCGCTCTTTTATTTCGCCACGAAGTTATTCTGTTTTTGCTAAACCCTTGCTGTTACATTTCCTTCAAGGTTACAATGGTGAGAACTTCGTCGATCGTGGTCATTTGTTCGACGAAAAAGAGAATTTATATTTATTGTGTGCAATGCTTACTTGTTGCGGTATTTATGCAAAACAATCCTGCCAACAACTTTACACGATTTATAAATAGTGTAATAGTATATAGTATAATTTTACAGTAAATAGATTTTATAAATAGATATAAATAGATAATATATAAATAGATTTATATAATTTTATAGTAATTTTATAGTAAATAGTATAGTTTTATAGTATTTTTTGAATTCGTTATATAAGTTATATTATTTTGTTTTATTTCATTTTATATATTTTTTTTATTGTATGGTACATTGATATGTAATTCAACAAAGTAATTCAACAAAATTTTAAAGAATTGCAACCCTCAAGGAACAAAATAAATGTTACTATAATTACAAATATTATAGTATTAGTTATTATTAGTTATTATTATTATTATTATTATTAGTATTACAAATATTATGGAATCGTGCTCATGCAATACATGTATCATATAACTTCATAAAAATAATATAAAAAGTAGATACTTCTTCTATTATACTTTTACGTTTTAGTCGTTATTAAAAGGGTTAAATATTGGTGACAATAGAACAGAATTTTATTCCGACTTTAAGGAATGGAATAACATTCATATTGAACAGGTTATTACTAAAAATATCAATCTCGAGTCAGACCCTTGATGGACCGACAAGGGGTTTAGAGAATGATTCGTACGAAGACGAAGATTTTAAGATAAATCGCCGAAGGTTAAGGAAAGGGTCGGATCGTACGAAAAATTGGGGGATGCGATAAATAAAGGGAGGCGCCCCGGATCTTCAAGAATTCAATTACCAGAGGAAACTCGTCAGAATCCGTGACTACCCCTTCAACAGCACCGGCCAGGCCGGATCCGGTCGTACACAAACTTCATTAGCGAAATTAACCCTCTTGTTTCATTTAATACCGATCAATAGCCATTTCGTCCCCCAATTTCTA